TTAGATTAACAGACAGGGGACTGCCCCACTTTGATGTTTTCAGTGCAATCAATCTCTTTCCCTTTTCCCCCTCACATTGTTACCCATCACAAGCCCCACAGTTAAGAACCCTTGATGAAGTGTTTGTGAGATCAGTTAGTGATTCATTGAGACTTCCTCTCTAATTAGAATCAAATAGCGGAATGTAAGCAATGAATATTTCTCTCCTATATTTAATAACTTGTTATTGTATTAGGACCAAGGTTTTTTTCCCTTTTCTACTTCCTCAAACAGAAACCAATCAGTGTGGGAAATATCTCTTAAAGATTTACCCAGGCTAAGATCTAATCAGACAACAAAAGAAATTCTAAGTTTGGGCCAATAAAAAAAAGAAAAACCAACAACTATATTCCCTAAAATAATACATTAACTCCTCTTAGCTTGTTTATATTCTTTCACACTTGCATGATGTAGTCCTGGAGTAATGCTATGAAATTATGAAGTATATTGATTTAAAGTCAGGTATCCAATGAAGTTCCTGTTACTACCTAAGAATGAACTCATTTCTGTGTCCTTAAATTATAATCAATATTGGCTCCATAAAGTATATATAGAACATAAAGCTAAGCATTTTAAAAGAAAGCTGGAACTCTTATTTCACTGATACACTTCTTTTGAGTTTGTGGCTAAATAAGGACTTTACTTCAGGAACTCTGGCTTAGTACACATATGGTACCACTTAAGTCTTCCCAGTTATAATGCTGTTGTATACAATGGTTTAAATTCAGTGATCACCACTGAACTGCCTCGCACATAGTAGGCACTTAATAGTTGCTGATCTGAATAGACAGAAAAGGACCCCCAGCAGCTAATGGGACAGTCCTGCCCTAACTAAACCAGCATCAGGGGTTATGTGGCAGTCCTGACCCAAACTGTGGGTAAGTATCCCCGATCAGACAAATAATCAAAGCCCCACCCAGATCCTAGGCTTCTCAACCTGCCTACCCTCCCTGAGTTCCCTCAGCATTTATAGGGCTATTCATTAACACCCACTCCCTCTGTAGGGGAGTGTATTAATTTTTGTCCAGAGTGGTTTTTCACAGGAAGCAACACCCCAAACTACCTCTCTGACATAAGAGAGACAGCAAAGTGTGAAACTGGTTATGGAACCCTGGTCCCATCAGTCACTAGTGCCTGTGTGTCATCCAGCCAACAGCTGTCCCTCTGCTCCCCCTTCCTCAGTGGGCTCAGCCTCCCACAGCAATCACTTTGGGAATTAGTCACGGCATCTGGAAAAACCAAATCGCAAGCTGAGAGAGTGGGCTGCTCCCCCATCTAGAGAGGCTGCTAGAACCCAAGGGATCCCCTCCTTCCTGCTCTCAGGGATCTAGCTGGTCATCCCGACAGGCCTCTCCAGGCAGCTCCATCTTGCTTCCTGCCAGGAGGAGGAGGAACAGTGGGAGGGACCGGAGTATGGGAAAGGCCAGTGAGGGGGAGGAAGCAGTCTGACAGCAGGGTAAAGGGAACCTGGACAAGAAGGTATAAAATATAGGGGGTAAACTTCGGAATCGGGACTGACTCCGTACTCAACACTGACTCAATACTGGGATCTACATATGCCCAAAGTAGGAAGAGAGGTGAAACTGACTCAGGGATGTTGGGGGAAGGGGAGAAGGGGAGGGAAGGGAAGGAAAGGGGGAAGGGAAGAAGAGAGGAGGGAAGGAAGAGGAGGAGAGGGGGAAGAGGACTGGAGGGGAGGTAAAGGGGAAAGAGAGAGGGAAAAAAGGGAGGGGAGGGAGAGGGAAGGAAGAGAAGGGAATGAGGGAAGAGGGGGAAGGGGGAAGGAAAAGGGAGGAAAGGGGGAAGGGGGAAAGAAAAGGGAAAAGAAGAGGGAAGAGAGAGGGGAGGGAGAGAGAAGGAGGAACCCTGGGATGGGATGAAAGGGAAGCAGTGAACACCAGGGATGGCCCCAGGAAGGCGGTTCAGCATAATGGGGAAAGTGAGGCAGGCTGGACAAAGGATCCAGAAGGATGGGTGCACTCGCCGGGTGGGGGTGGGGGAGGCGGAGTGCGACGACGGGGCTTCCAAGGAAGTTTGGTGGCTGGATGGAGGCTGGGGTCCGCGCAGAGGAGATCGGGACACGAAGGGTTAAAGAAGCGGGAGCGCGATCGGGGCGGAGGCGGCAGGGCAGGGGCAGAGGAGGGGCCGAGCGCCGGGAAGGCTGCGGGGCCGGGGTCTCGGGCGCTCCGGGGCAGGAAGGGGCCGCCCGCCCGCCCGCTCCCTCCCTCCTTCCCTCCGTCCGTCCGTCCCCGCCCCGGCCGGGCCGGCGCTCACCCGGACGAGGTTGCTGACTGCCGCCTGCACGGCGGCCACGGGCGCGGTGAGGTCAGGGATGGCTTTGCCGTCCACCTCGCCCTCCTCGTGCATGATCACCAGGTGCGAGATCTGCTGCGCCACCGGCTCCAGGATGCTCTCGATCGTACGCGTGTGGAACACCGGCATGGTGGCGGCGGGCGGGGCGGCGAGCCGCGGGCTAGGGGAGACGGAGACCGGCCGGCGGGCGGCGAGGAGCCAGAGAGCAAGGCTAGACTGCTGCCGGCGACGGCGAGCTAGGCTGAGACTGCCGACTCCGGGCTTTCCTCAGCGTAACCGACCTCGAGGCCGCCCCGCCCCTCGCGTCGCCGCGCCCAATCGCGGCTCCGCGCAGACTGGGGCGGCCGCTCTCATTGGGCCTCCTCCAAGCAACTCCGCCCTCCCTCCTGCTGGCCGCAGCCCCCTCTCCTCGCCCCCGCCCCGCCCCCATTCCCGAGGGCGGGGTCGAGGATTGGGGCTGCGCCGCAGGGATTGAGGACGGATTCCCGAGCTCTAGCGAGGGGGCGCGCCTTATAAGGGCATAGTGGGAGCGGAGCGCCCAAGAAGACTATTGGCCCCGCCCCCTCGCGGCCCCGCCCCCTGCCCCCTCCCTAGAAGGAGCGCAGTGGAGCTGCCGCGGCTCTAGCCCCGGGAAGCTGGGCTGTCTGCTCCGACTACGCCTTCTCCCACTGAATAAAGTCTTCACCACCTGGCTCTTCCCAGAAGACTCAGGCCTCAATTTCCAAATCTGTAAAATAAGGTCATTGGTCAGCCTGGTGTGGTGCACAGAATACTGGACCTGGAGTCTTGGAGACACCTGGATTTGAATGCTCCCTCAGACGCCCCTCCCCTTTTAAATATGTGACCAGTCACTTGCCTCGGTTTCTTCATCTGTAAAACGGAGATAATACCTGCAGTAGAAACAGCTAGGTGGTGCAGGAATAGAGTTGGGAACTTGGATCGAGGAAGACCTGAGCACTTAAGACACTTTTTAGCTGAGTAAATCACTTAACCTCCATTTGCCTCCGTTTCCTCATTTGTAAATGGGTTAATAATAACACCTCACAGGGTTGTTGTGAGAGTCAAATGAGTTAACGAATGCGAAGCATTTTGGGCCGTTTAAAGTACTAGCACTTTAAATGTCAAATATTATTAGATAATATCTAAAGCCCCTTCCAGTGCTAATCACCTCAAACTAAATATGGCAAAAAGAACTTGTTGATCTCCCTTTACTTCTCCCTTTTGCTTAAGCTTCTCCATTACAATGGACAGGACTTATCCACTTGGTTTTCCCTGTGTGAATGCTGAAGCTTATTTATAGTTCTTATTTAGGAGACGGCAAGAATTAGGAATGTCCTCTGCAAATAGTGTTTGGAGGATCTCACCATCTATAGGAAATCCTGTGTCCAGTTTGACTCTGGGATGGACATCTTCCATGACATTGGTGAGCACACATCTTATTCTCAGTCTCTTGATATTAATAACTGGAGGGAAAGTTATGGAACAAAATTATCTCCATTGCTCAATCTGTAAAGGATTCCATGTGGCTTTTAACACATGCCATAGCAACACCTTATAAAGATTTGGTATGTAAAATGCTGCAATAGTGGAAAGTATTTGAAGTCAGAGTACTCAGGTTGAAGTCTTGTCTCTTTGCACTTTTTACCTGTATGACCTTGGACTTAATTTACTTGCATCTCAGTTTCCTCATTAGTAAAATAAACAAGTTGGATTAGATTACCTCTAAGGTCCCTCCCAGCTCTAAATCTATGATCCTATGTAAAAAATTGTTTGCAAAAGCCTCCCCATTCTCTTATTAAATGGATTCTCATAGAAATAGGGAAGTGGGCACATGGCCAAGTAGTTACTGATATTCTCCCATCTGTTTACATGAGAATGTTGAGGCACAGCCTCAACGGGGCATCTGTTCACCTAAGCTCTTTTATGGAGTCAAAAATGGAAGCAGACTTTGAACCCAAGTCTCCTCTAAACTTCTCCCTAAGGAGCTCTGCTAAGCTCCTCCTCCTGTCGGTTTGTGGATTGTGCAATGTAATGTCATGCCAGATATATTTCTGGCATAGAGAGATATCTGTACAACGGATATATTTCCAGGGACTCCTCCGCAGCCTTTCAACAGACACACTTCTAGACACAGGCCCACATTTCTTGCACCCATTAGGTAAACCTCCAACACACAAAAGTATATTCACTCTCCCCAGTTCATCAGATTCGCCTTCTCTTGCCAACCTTCCCCACCACAACGGGCTTTTCTCTCCCCGCACCCTCAACAAATGCTGACACACGCTCCCCTTTCCCCACCCTAGGAAACCACACCATTTGCCCCGGGTGTGGCTACAAGAGTAACCACTTCCCTTTCCACTTTAAAGACAGTTTTTAACCTGAGAGATGAGGTCATCTTCTGCTCCCCTCCTCCTAACCTCCCCATCCTCCTGCCTCATTTTACTAAGTGGAGCTTTCCTTCCCCTTCTATGAAAATAATTTATAAATACAACTATCTAACGTGACATGTGCCTTTTTGACTGTTTAAAATGGACAAGAAAGAAAAATGTTCAAAGTTTGGTGTTTTCTGAACGTATTCGTGGTTCCTTTTTCAGTTTGACTGAGAGTAAACACTTCATGATTTCTTAATTCCCATAGGTTCATCCTGATAGGTCAGAAGAACCTAATCTTCCCTGACCATTTTAATAATGATTTTGGAGATCACTGTTGGGTTAGAAGAAAACAGGAACATTTTGAAACGGATTGGTCCCCTACCTTTTCCTAAGGCTCTTGCCCCCATCAAAAGTTACCAGGTCAGTGAGTTTAGCCTCAAGGCTCAGCCAACTAAGAGAAGCTAAATTAAATTAGCTGCATGCTTAATATATTAATTGAATTATATTAATTGCATTAATATAATTAATTGATCAGTAAATTAGTTGAAGTTTAAATGTGTTTTAATCTGATAAAAACCTTAATGTGCAAAACTCCCCCCTTCCCCTCCCTCCCAGACAATACTTTCAATATAATATTGGCGTTTAATGTGAGAATCTAATGAGGAGGTAATGTTGGAATTTCAAGCTCTGTGGCAGAACAAGAGAAATATTTTGGGGGACTAAGAGTGTTTCATTTCCCCCAAATCATATCCCGTGGGTGGCTGGCTTCCTAATTCATCAATGAATAAAGTCAAAGCTGTCTCCAATGAGTATAAAGAGGCAAAGTAATGAAAACTTCACTAGACAGAGATGCTCAAGGTCCAAGTCTGAGTTCTGGCTATGTGGCTTATTACCCATATTCCCTTGAGCAAGTTGCTTAATAATAATAATTATAATACTCGCTTAAAATTGCATAATTTTTTTTCACATTTTACAAACTGCCTTTACAAACATCATCTCCTTTTAGCCAGATAGTGCCTCAGTACATAGAGGACTCAATAAATGTTTGTTGAAATGAATTGACCTTCACAACAACCAGGGAGGTTGGACAAAATAGCTATTTTCCTTATCTCCATTTCACAGATAAGGAAAAGTAAGGCTCAAGCAAGATTAAGTAACTTGCTAAAAGTCTCAGCAAATGGTAGAGAAGTGAGGGAGGCAAGGTAAGGAGGGGAGAAGTGGGGCTGCCTTGTGGAGAAAGATCTCTTTAGCTCTAATCCCATGGATCTATGCTCCTGCTAAATCAACTTGCAGCCAGCCCATTTGTATAGGGGTAAAACAGTCAAAATACTGATATTGATCCTTATTCCAGCCCTTAAAATCCCAGGAAAAATAGAACACCTGAAAGCAGACAGAAAAAAAAACAAACCAAAGGTGGGACCTTGAAGGTGAGGGAAGCCCTGTGGTTGTAGTCCTCTGAAGCCTCCAGGGTGTTTATTGTTTCATTTTGCTATAAATTCTTTCCTCTGGAAAAGGAAACCAGTAAGTCACTTCCCATCTAACTAATAGACAGCTAAGTGCCACAGTGGGTAGAGTACTGGGCCTGGGATTTAGGAAGACTTGAGTTCAAATGTGACCTCAGATACTTTGACCTTGGGCAAGTCACTCTCTGCCTCAGTTTCCTCAACTGCAAAATGGCAGTCATAATAGCACCTACCTCCCAGAATTGGTGGGAGGATCAAATCAGATGATATTTGTAAAGCACTTAGTACAATGCCTGGAACATAGTAGGAGCTTAATAAATGCATGTTTCCTTCCATTTGTGTTCTTTTAAACTATATCATGCAAGGGGCAGCTAGGTGGTACAGTGGCTAGAGCTACTGCCTTGGAGTCAAGAGGACCTGAGTTCATATCCAGCCTCAGACACTTGACACTCACTAGCTGTGTGACCCTGGGCAAGTCACTGATTGCCTCACCAAAAAAACAAAAAGAAAATAAAATATATTATGCATTATGTATCCTGTGTATAGCTTGTTCATATATATTTGTTTGCTTGTTGTCTACCCCCATTAGACTGTAAGATCCTTGAGGACAAGGACTGTCTTCTGCCTCTTTTTGTATCCCCAGGACTTAGCACAGTGCCTGGCACATAGTAGGTACTTAATAAAGATTTATTGATTGATATTTGTGGCTAAGTTTGCAAAAGTCTAGGCATAAATAGCATAATAAGACTGAGGTTCATAGATTGAAAGAGTTTTTGGATAAATTTCAGGAGGTCAGTGGCTTTAGATAGATAGCTAGGTGGCACAGTGGATAGAATGCTGGGACTGACGTTGGAAAGACTCATCTTCCTGAGTTCAAATCTGGCCTCAGACACTTACTAGCTGTGTGACTCTAGGCAAGTCAGTCAACCCTATGTGCCTCAGTTCCTTATCTGTAAAATGAGCTGGAGAAAGAAATGTCAAACCACTCCAGTATACCTGCCAAGAAAACCCCAAATTTGGTCATGAAAACACAACTGAAAAACAACTGAACAACAACATAAACTTTTTTCCCAACATAAACTTACATGGGAAAAAAATTATATCTTTATTTCAAAATAATTAGTTTCCTTTTTAATCTAATGTATTTTATTTTCTGCATTCTAAAACATTACTTTGAGAAAGGTCTATAGGCTTCACCAAACTGTCAAAGAGATCCATGGCATAAAAACAGGCTTTAGTATCCCCAAAAGTTGCATATTCTATCAGTACCTTGAAAAAAAATGGTATTCAAACATTATGTTTTAACACAACAGTTCCTTCCCAACAAGTAACTAAATAAAGACCCTTGCAAAGTACATCACAAACACACACACACACACACACTCTCACACCCCATAGTTTATCATTAACAGAGAGAAGGGGTATAGCCCTTAACTTTGACTATATGGCACTAACATGGACAACTATATTTGCCCAGAATTTTCTTGCCCATCCAGGTTGACTTATATCATTGCAGGCATTGTGTATGTTGCGTTTGGCTCAATTCCCTTCACTCTTCATCATTTCCTACTAGTCTTCCCATGTTACTCTGAATTCTTCATATTTCTCATTCCCTGTGGCACAATAATAATCCACTCCTTTAACTTAATTTGTTCCAACATTTCCCAATCATTGAGTATATGCCTTGTTTCTAGCTTTTTGTCTTCATTCAGGCCTTTTGAACTAACTTCTTCCCTTGGAAGAGTGCTGTTTTTCTGTCCTATCAGACTGTTCATGACCCCATTTGGGGTTTTCTTGACAAAGATTCTGGAGTGGTTTGTATTTTCCTTTTCTGGTTCATTTTACAGATGAGGAACTGAGGTAAAAAGGGTTAAGTGACTTGCCCAGGGTCACACAGCTAGTAAGTATCTGAGGCCAGATATGAACTTAGGTCTTCCTGACTCCAGGCCAACACTCTAACCACTGAACCATTTAGCTACTTCAGGAAGAGTGCTAGTAGGGGCTAATTAATGTGTGATATAGTAAGTGGAATTAGCCCACATCCCCTAACTCCCAAGTCTAAGGTTCCTTCCATTGAACTATGTATGCACTATTATTTACTCATCTTTATATAAGCAATGGAGTAAGGCCCCCAGCCCTCCAAAGACTCTGGGCTCATGCAGATCAGGGCCAGTTCTGGGCACTGACTCATGAAGGGTCATTTTCTCTCCTTGGTAAATATAGTTCAGGCATAGCTCAGGTCAAGATTGCCCCAGACAGGGTAAAAGTGGTCCCCCAGCTCCCATACAATCACTCAAAGTAACAAAAGAAAACCACGTATGGGACAGCCTTTATTTTACTCCTCTATAAATGTAGAAGACAGAAAAGACTCACAGGAGCTCCTAAATAGGTACAGAAAACATATAATTCATGAATTCCAATGATATTTTTGTGCTAGTGAACAATTAGGGGAAACTCGGTGGCACAGTGGATAAAGCACCAAGCCTGGAATCAGACACTAGCTATATGACCCTGGGCAAGTCATTTAACCCTATTTGCCTCAGTTTCCTCATCTATAAAATGAGCTGGAGAAGGAAATGGCAAACCACTCCAACAATATCTTCTCCAAGAAAACCCCACATGGGGTCACTAAGAGTTGGATATGACTGAACAAAGTCAACAAGTAGCATAACTTCCCATTGAACCTTCACTGTCTGAATCACTCACTATAATACTGAGAGGTAAAAAATTTTTTGGCTTTCTGAAGTCACAGATCACCTTCACTCCACCTTCAGGGGGTCATGTCGATTATCCTCTTCTTTGTCTAAGAAGGGCTATGTTCAGAAATGATTTGATAATCCTCTAATTTCCCTAGTGAGGGCAAGATTCAGGAGCTAGATAGTCAATCCTCTTTCTTTTTCCAAGTAGGATGCCATTGCCAACAAATTCCCCACTTGGCCAAGTGGCAAGCACATGTCTGCTTCTGCAATGTGTTTTTGCAGGAATCCAGGTCTCTGGTCATGACTGTGCTCAGAAAGTTGTGGACAAAGATGTGATTCCCTTGGGCTCCTGCCACAAGGCAATCTTTACTGGTTCCTGAGAATAAGAGGCTGAGTACATATGAAGTCTCCCCTACCCTGGGACCTGGATATGCTCTGTTACACTACAGTTCATCCTCTGAGCAAGGAAAAGGCGTATGACAAAAGGGCTGATAGCAGTATTGTGTTCTCTTTTATAGAAAGGTCAGAGGACCAGCTCTTCCTACAAGAGTCTCTCCCCCTGATTCTCAGACAGCCAATCAACTTGGGCCAGCCTTAATTCTTAAAGGCCAACCAGGAGGTATGTGTCCTCTCAGCAAAGCACCAATGTTCATATCCCATATTCCATAGAGGGAAATTGATTAAGGGAACCCCCTATTAGGTACAGATTGCTTGTCTGTTCGAGACATTATTATGTATGCGTGATAGGCCAGAAATTTCATTAACTTTGAAGGACTTCTATAGAAAAGTGCCACCATGAGAGACTGATTGAAAATCATAATGGAGCACCCTTTGGGATTCCATTCTAGACCACGGGGAACTTGGAGCAGTATGATAACACAGAAGGTTGTCGCTCACCTGACAGCTATAAACAAGGGCCATGAAGATGATCAAATCAGGAGGAGAGAAGAGTTGGAGACTTGACACAAGTGGGAGGTAGATAAGCTGGAACCAACTAGAGGAAGAAAAAGACTATTAGGCCAAAACAGCAAGTTACAGTTGATGAGATGACCTGAGACAAGTCCACTACTTCTTCTGTCCCTGGGGTGGGGAACCATTTTCATTTATCCATTCAATACTCTCTTCCTGTTTTCCCTTCCCATCCAGGGCTGTGACTGGGAGAAAGTCATTTTTCCCCCTTCTAGGCTGCCAACCAAAGCACCCAAGTCTGTAGTGTGGAGGTTTTGTTCATTTAATCACTGAATTTCATTGATATACTATTTCTAGTTGTTATTAGAAATTTCATGGCCAAAGATCATGACTCATATTTGCTATGAATGAATAAGCGGGTCTGAGAAGGTAGAAGTTAACCCAAAAGGGGAAAAGAGATATTTGCTGCAGCTCAAGCTGATGGGGGAGCAAAGACAATTAAGAGAAAGTGTGCCCATTATTCTTAATACTTTTCTGGAGCACATATGCATAAATATACTTACACATCCTACCCTTGGACTTTTCCCTTTTGAACCTGGACAGACAGAGACTAATGAGGAAAAAAGACAAAAAGCTATTCGGGGTGGGCAAGGGGTTGCAGTTGGTGCCATTTTTTTTGTCTGAGGGGATGTTGGCACAGGGGCAACTATGGCTTGAAGCTATTGCCAGTCTTCCTTGGTATTGAACTCTAAAGCAACTGAGGTTTGTTGTTGCTACTGTTAGACTCAGCAGGCACTGAGTTCCCTTGGCATATATACCCAAGACCCCAAGTCTCATGGACCCCACCTCACCGAATACCGTATGGATGTGGGACATTTATACATGTAAAATGAGGGGTTTGGGCTTAATGATTTCTAAGTTCTTTCCAGTTGCAATAGAGAGCCATAGGGTAACTATCTCTAATCCTATCATACTTCAGATATACCTTTCCCCTGTAAAAATAAAGTTTTCCCTTCCACATGATAGGGGCAGGGAGGGGAGAGTGGCACCCCTGAGATCTGGAAAATCCACGTAAAATTTTTGGCCCTCCCTTTGTACCAGAGAAGAAGTGTGGATTTTTTCTTTGTCTTTTATGGAGTGTTTACAGTATCTTATTAGAAAATCTGGGTTAATATTATATAATATTATTCATATATTTCACATATTTCTGAGTTTCTGAGATTTTTCTGTGTCTTCTGCTGGCCTTTGTGTGTCATCTGCAGCTTTTGAAAAACTTCCCAAAAATTCCCATTTAATTTCTTATGTCACCCTGCGATATATTGAAACTTCAATGAGGAAAGTCTCGATGTGGAAAGGATAACTGTAATACTCATGTGGACGGTGTGGATTTTCTATTATTCTGTAGTACACTTATTCTTTATTTAACAGAAATTCACTTAACCCAATTCCTTGAACCTAAAGAATTCATGAATTAAGTGACAAATTCATTCTAAAGAACAGCACCTTAGGATAATTCAGAGGCATGTGCAATCATCTCAAGCCTGCCGTCTTACCCTGTTTCCATCATCTACCAGAGTGTTGACTATACTATAAACTATTGTTACATCTAAACTTTGTCTAACATCTGTCAACTCAGCACTTTGCCAAACTCCACAGACACCTTTGGATGTGCTAATAGCCACTAATAAGGACATCAGTAATCAGTTCAATAAACATACCATTAGTTTGGAAATAGAAGCATAATCTAGGTCAACACAGGTACAATCCGCTAATCACTAATCATTGTCAGACAATAACATGTCTCAATAGACATGGGGACAGGTTTCCATTGCTAAACAAAGAGTAAACCCTTCACACTTTCACCTAAAGTGCAATTATTCCTAGTTCAAGGACAAGAGAAACAAACAGTAAAGGTGTCATTGGGCAACTGTGTCTGAAAAGAAACAAGGTGGTTCAAACAAAAAAGGAGAGAAAGACAGCAGAGAGACAGAGCGAGATACAGAGACTGACAGACAGAGAGACAGACAGAGAGAGACAGTCCCAGAATTCCTTTGGATAATGTATTCTAAGCACTACTGAATTATTTCTCTGATACTTCATTGCAATACAGAGGTGAGCTTGAGTTTTTCAAAGCATTGCCAGAGGAACACAAGTTTTGGCAGGTCTTTCTGGACTGGAAGGCTACATAACTGTCATCTGAAGGCCAGTTTAGCTAAGCTTGAAAAGTGAAAAGATCCATCACCAGATTAGCTGCCGGGTAATGATTTTTTTTTTACCAATAGCATCTTTCCAAGATCATCTACTGAGGTACAGAGGAATTGTAATCTGCACTAGTGTAGAGAGAATCCTCACATAGGAATTCAGATATCTGAAGAAAGTTTAAGTAATTTGAAAAATTAATGAAATTTAGGTAAGGTAATTTGAAAAATTAATGAAAAATTTACCCAACTCCCTAAGATTTTAAGGATTGTTCCTTTTACAGTGGAAAGAGGATATAGAAGATCGGGTAAGGATTTGAAGTGCAGTGGGGAGCTTTATGGGTTATTAGGTTGGATTAGTTAAAATGTTAGAGTCCAGAAGATCTGACTTCAAATCTTGTCTTTGGACAACTCATGTAACCTCTCTTAGCCTCAGTTTCCTCATCTGTAAAATGGGAGTAATAGAACCTATTTCACAAGGCTGTTATAAGGATTGAATAAGATATCCTGTATAGTGCTTCACAAACCATAAATTGCTACAGAAATTATACCTAGTCTTAGTAGTAGTTGTCTCAGCCTCTCTCCCCACCTCTCTCATGATGACCATATCCCCCCTGTTCTGACCACCTTAGCCTTGAAAACTTCTAATTCCCCAGCTTGATCTTCTCCATCATTTAGAAGATAGGGAGCATTGAAAAAGAAAAAGGAGAGGGGAAGGGAAGGTCCTACACGGTGGTTTGCACCAGTTCAGAAGTAGGACAATTAAAATCAACTGAAAAAGAGAGAAATACTGCTCTTATTTGTGCTGACTTCATTTCTAGCACCGGATGCTCCTGCTTTCACTTTGTATATTTTTTTATTTTGTGAATGACTTGGAGAAGGGGAAGGCAGCATGATGCTATGGAGATAGTGCTGGATTTGGAGTTTGATGACCTAGACTAGAATCCCGGTTACTTTACTTCCAAACCATGGGATCCGGAGGGAAGTCAGTCCTCCCTGGGCCTCATTTTCCCATCTGCAAAATAAGAGGTGGGGTGGATGAACTATATGATCTCTGAATTCCCTTCCAGTTCTAAATCTATGATCCTATTATTATTATAAATTACATAATTATAATTATTACAAATATCATTATAATAGGATTGAATTGTTTTTTTCTTTTAAAATTTTATTGTGTTTTTTTTTTTTGGTTTTGTTTTTACATCATCTAAATTTCTCCCGGTATGTCTCCCCTCTCACTCTGCCAGAGAGCCAGGTATATGTTATATCATAGAACAAAGAATATTTTTATAAAGAAAAAAAAAGAGGAAGAAAAGAAATATACAGAAAAAGTCTGAAAATATATGCAGTGTCCCAACTCTGTGGACCTTCACCTCTACAAAGGAGTGGAGGGAATTTCTTTTCATATCTCTTATTTGAAGCTATGCTTTCGCTATGCAATTTTGCAACATATACTTTTGATGGTTTTGTAGTGGTTTTTCTGTCCATTTACATTGTTGCAATGGTTCATGTAAGTCTTTCCATGCTTCACTGTATCCTTATAGTCATCATTTCTTTTAGCACAGTAAAAGTCCATTGCATTTATGTATCATAATTTGTTTAGCTACTCCTCAGTCTGTGAACATCTACTTTGTTTCAAGTTCTTTGCCACTACAAAAAAAAAATGTTGCTTTAATGGTGTATGTAGATTCTTTCCTTTCATTGTGATCCTTCTTGGGAAGGAACCTACTAGGGGAATCTCAGGATCAAAGCATATGGATATTTTAGTCACTATTTGCATAATACCAAATTGCTTCCCAAAGTGGATATACCAATTCACATCTTTGAAATTCTAGCTCCTTGTAAAGCTCAGTTTAAGTGTCACCTCCTTCAAGAAGGCTTTCCTATTTTTTCTAGTTATTAGCACTTACCTATATTACTGTTAAATCTGAAACCACTCTCCCAACCTGTATTTGTACCTATGGCTTGGTGTCCCCAGAGGTATGGCTGCTACCTAATCTTTCACAGTTCTAGGGGTAATCCTGAGGATCTAAGCATCTATATTTTTTGAGCCCCTACCAGTGTACTCCCCATTAACAATCAACTATTAGCCTCAATTAGATTTTAGAAAAGGTACTAATATAATAAGAAGAGTCAGTATAAAATCTCTCAAAACTTGCAACACATTCTCTCACAAACAGAATTCAACAGCAATGAGACACACTTGTATAAAATAAACATAGCAAAGGGGTGACTCATAACTCCTTCCCTGAAAGTCCTTTTCTCACAAAAGTGTTTGGTCATTCTGCAATCTAGGATGAAATGGGGGTGTGGGGGTGGGGGGAGGTAGAGAGAGGAGAATGCCTTCTGGATAGACTGAGTGAATTCTCTTTTGAGTATTATTGTTGGTGTACACATTGCTGCTCCCCTATACTTTCCTTCCCTTTCAGCCATTTACTGGTAAGTGAGGCTATTTATAGAGTGAAGGACCCTCTTACTCATAACACTGGCCACTTATATATCTATACCCTCATTTCCCTATACGTGTGGCACTATATTGGAGGCTACTTCCCATGGAGTTTTATTATTATCTTCCAAATGGAGAGAAACTCTAAACCTTAAGCCTACACAAAAGCATGAGATGTCTTATTCTTATTAGGGTAATAATGAATTCATAAGAGGAAAAAAATCATTCTAGAATATGATCTTCTCTACAGTGGCTTGGAACCTGACAGTAAATAGCTTACAGAATGAAAGTCTGGTTTGCAAAAATCTCATTTGGGGAGAGCATATGGAACAGGTAAACAGTTTTGCTTGTGCCTTTTGCCACTTAATGAATGGTCTATTCTATCTGGTTAAATTAGTTATTTGTTGTATATGTTTATAGTAGACCACTTAAGTCTTTGTTTAGAACGAGTTAAAATAATTAAGCAGAAAAAACAATCACTGACCAATTTCACTTTTGTCTTTTTCATAAATGTAATATTGTATTTTAAAATATTGTAAAATAATTTTTAAAGTCAAATATGGATCGAGATGAAATGGGTGAAAACTTTCTTTTTAAAAAAAATGCTATATCCATTAAAAATAGATAAGCCTTAGCCTTGTAAGAACATTCCTCAATCAATCTATCAGTCATAGGCTTTAGAGAAAGAATAAAATGTTTAAATGAAGTTGATATAGAGAGTTGTGCTTCTTTTAATAATTAGCAAACATACAATTATAATAATAATTGCTTTTTGGTATTGTTCTGTTTTGTTTTAGTTCTCATTTCTCTTATTTGCTTTATTTTTTACCTTTTGTTACTTTTTAGCTACTTGACAGTTTACATTGGTTGTTTGAAATTAAAACGATTTTTAAAAATTAAACAAAAATGCTATAGACCTTAACTTTTCTCTTCCCAGTATGGCTGGTAAGTGACACTGTGGTCATTTCTTGTGGTTAGTCAAAGCTGCTTTCTT